TTTCTAGCGCGGTTTTGTTCCCCCCCCCAGCCGTGGTGGCCATGTCAGGGACATCTTCGGCAGAGATGGGCTGGATGATGTGGCCCGCCCGGGTAATGACGCGGGGGGCAGTCAGCTTCTGGAAGGCACGCTGCGTGTTCCACGTGGAACCCACGGGTGTCCGGATGCTCTGCTCAAACTGCTCGTGCCTCTCGAAGGGGAAGGGCAGCTCACTGACCTGCAGGGAAACAGCGCAGCGGGGTAACTCCCACTGTGCCCAGGGGCTGCTTTCACCTCACACTGCTGCCGACTCCCACCCGTCCAGGACCAGCTCAGGCTGTGCCTCCAGTCCCCCACCCTGCTGACCACCTCGCCCCATCCCCTCTTCTAGCAGAGCCCAGGAAGGCTGGCACAGCCGCCGCCACCGTGGGAGCAGCCCTCTAACTTCCTCCTCCTCCCTCTATCACCCTGCTGGCCTCTGGGTGGTCAAAGCTAGAAACTAAGTGACCAGGCAGGGATCACAGGCAAGGATTCAGGACATTTTGGGAACGGGGCACAGGAAGGTTCTGGGCCAGGCTGGGTGCTGGAGTGCTTCCAGCTGCTGCTCGCAGGGGCTGGACGTCACCCACCTGATGTGCTGCTGCGTGGATGTTGCGCTGCTCGCTCATGATGACGTGAGGCAAGTGCTGGTCCTTCCTGGGAGGCGCCGGGGGCGGCTTGAGCAGGAACCTGCCAGGCAAGCGAGATGTCAGGCCCCAGTGCCGGGCTGAGACACGTTGCTGCAGCTCTTCCACACTTACCGTTTTCTTTTCTTGGTGCTGGGCTTCAGTCCTGTGCCTCCCCACTCGCCCCAGCCTGGCAGCACCAGGTTCACTGGCTGCGGCTTCGCAGCCTGCTCTGCCTTGTGCTTCTCCCGGCAGAAGTCAGCCACCACGTCGTCCCCAGCAAAGGCCTCTGTGATGACCCCTCTTTGGTCAACGCCACCCTCCTGGGGAGAGAAGGGTCAGTCCCCTGCAGTCAACCCCGCCCTGGGACCAAGGGGCAGGCCCGTCCTGCTCACCTCCTCCTCCATGACCACAGGTAGGATGGGGCACTGAACCTCCTGGGACTTCCCAGACAGCATGGCCCGCAGGCTGATGATCTTCTTGGCTGGTGGTTTCTTGGAGTGCCCGTACCCAGCTCTGCCTTCCTGCTGTGGCTGCACTCGCTTCTCTGCTCTTGCAGCTGCTGGCGTCTTCTGCTCTTCCACACGCTCCTCTGAGGCCAGAGCCTCAACGTCCTCCATTGTCCGCACCCGGGCCAGCTGCTCCGACAGCAGGATCTCCTCCTGGGCCTGGGGAGGCTGCTCGATCCCTAGGCTTGCTGGCTCCTCGGCACAGATGGGGTGGGTGGGGCTGTCCCCCGGAAGTTCAGAAACTGCCTCTGTCTCGTCAGCACCTATGCATTGAGGCAATGGGTGAGAAACAGTCGCCCGTGACAGGGAGGGAGTGAGTGAGCAGGACAGCTGTATGAAACTGGGATGAAAACAGCCCCGTGACCCCCCTCCGTGTGCCCAACCCTGCGGCACACCGGACCCACACTGCATGGGGTGGTGAGCTCCTCACCTTGTCCCTCAGGGCTCCCTGCCCGCTGCTGCCGCGCGTGCCGTTTCTGCGCAAAGTCCTGTAGCAGAGCTTCTTCCTCCTCTATTTCCTCCTCCTCCTCTATCTCCTTGCTCTCCACAGCACCAGGCACTGCAACGTCTCCAAGTCCATCCTGCACCTCAGGCTCCTCAGCTGGGCTGCTGGGTTTGCCCAGCATCCAGGGGTTGTCTCCACTGGCACCCGTGGGGATGGTCACTGACGCAAGGTCCTCCTCAGGCACGTCACCTTGCTCCTCCTCAGGCAGCTCCACCCGCACCTTCTGCATCAACTCCTTGTTCTTGGCCAGCTGCTCCTGCATGGCCTTGCGGGCCTGGGAAGGGACTGAGATGTTTCTAACGCAGGCCAGAAACAACATGCCCACCTTACTTGCCCCACCTCAGCTGTCTCCCCCTTCCTCAACCTGTGTTGGAGCCCTTATTGTGGCCTTTCAACATATAAAAGGGACTTCTAAAAAAAGACAGAGAGACTTTATATCAAGGCCTGTTGTGACAAGACAAGGGGCAACCATTTTAAATTGAAAGAGGGTAGGTTTAGGTTGGACCTAAGGAAGGAGTGTTTTTCAATGAGAGTGGTGAGGCACTGGAGCAGGTTGCCCAGAGAAGCTGTGGATGCCCCATTCCTGGAAGTGTTCAGGGTCAGGTTGGACGGACCTTTCAGCAACTTGACCTAGTGAAAGATGTCCCTGCTCATTGCAGGAGGGTTGGGCTAGATGGTCTTTGAAGGTCCCTCTCAACCCAAGCTGTTCTGTGATCTCACCTCCAGGTCATACTTAGCCATAATGGCCCTGGAGCGGGCCCATTTTCCCTTATTCTGGTGCTTAAGGCTCATCCGCTCCTGAGGGGGGAAGAAGAGAAGCATCAGAAAGAGCACCCTCACGAGCAGGGACTTCCCAGGGGTGAGGGAGAAGTGCAAAAGCAGCACCTGCATCCTGAGCTGCTCCAGCTCCTCCAGCCTCGCCAAGGCGGCCTCAGGGTTGGACTTATGCAGCAGCTCAAACTCCTTTAAGGCCTTGCGTCTCTTGCTTTTTTTCAGCACACGATGGTACCTGCAGCCCAAGGGCAGAGAGCCAGGGAGTGAGACCTCACAGTGCTGGGGAGGCCTTTGGGAACGCAGCACTGTTTTGAGCAGGAGGCTGCCCAGTGTATTGCAGATCCCGGAGAGGAAGGGGGCTGCTCTGCCTTCCTCCATGTTTTGGCCATACCCACGCATTGGGCAGGGTCAGCTCCAGCACCTAGGCCGGGACCCAGCCCCCTCCCACTGCACCAAGCCCTGCAACAGCAGGGCCTTACTTCTTGCTCTTGATCTTCTTCTCTCGACGAGCCTTGGCTTCGTAGTAGGACTGCACGACCCGAGCCTTCTGCAGCTCTGCCCTCCGCTGCCGGGCCTGCCAGGGAGCGCAGAGTGAGGACAAGTGCCAGGGAAGAGGAGAGGCCTCCAGAACCAGGGTATGGCAGCGGGGAAAGCACTCACCTCCTCCAAGCTCATTGCCTGCAGCGAGGCTGCCTCCTCCGGCGTCAGGAGTGGATCTGTGATGGGCTGCTGTGTCTTGTGGAGCAGTCCAAATATTTCCTGTTCCAGGGGAGTTCGGGCCTGTTGGGACAGAAGAGACATAGCAAGAGCACCATGAGAAGAACTGCAAGAGCCAACGCTCCCCCAGATGTCCCCATCCTTCCTGGTGCCCCTGAGCAGCTCCATGGCAGGGCCCAGACAAGCGTGCCCCCTCTCCTTGCGGCTGGAGTCACAGCTATGCTCACAGGTCCCAGGCAACAGCCCGAGGCTCGCTGTGAGCCTGCCTAGGTGCCCTCCCAGCCATCGCGCCAGGTTAGGGCCGGCAGAATTCTTCCCAGGGTAAAGAAATAGGCTGGCAGTCGAAAGGCAGCACTGACTGGGCAGCGCTGGGCAAGATGCACACAGCAGAAGTTCCAGGCCACACACCACCATGTCCTGCCAAAACAGAAAGGGACCTTTTGGGCAGATCGAGGCAAGCGCTGGGTATGTCGGGAACTGGGCAGGGACTGCCCCTCACCTGAGCATCTGGAAGACTGGGAGAGCTCTCAGGGACGAGTGACTCTCCTACCAGCAGCAAAACACCCAAGGGAACTCGCATTCAAAACCAAAAGCATCCTTCTTTCATAACAAAGACTTACAAACACGCAGGCTTTGGCAAAACAAAGGCCTCTGCCTCAGCACAAGTGGCCGAGGGCTACTAGCAGGCACCTGGCTCAGCCCAGGGACTGGGAAATGGCAGACTCAGCCTGCATGTCTAGAGCTGAAAGGCTAAACGGAGGAAAGGGGACAGAGCAGCCTCCAAACCCTCTGCTCACTCCTTACCTGGCCTCTCCCAGAAAGCATTTACACGCTTGCTATGTGTGAGGAATGCAGAAGACTTCACTTTTAATCTTCCCAAGCTCAGCGTGCACCTGCCCAGAGCCTCAGCTACAGGCTGGGCCTTCCTCATGCCTACCTCACTCCTCCCAGCACAGTCAGGAGATGTCAAGCTGCCCCAGCCAACCCCAGGGAGCTGCGTGACACACGATAGCACCCACCTTCCATGCTGAAGCCACTTGCTCCACGGGGACAACTGTAGCAATCTCCTGCTTGAGGGGGAACACCAGCTGCTCTGCCCGTCGGTTCTGCAAAACCACCTGCTGCCATTTGCCCACATCTTTAGAGGTCCTGACGTAGGCAGCTTCCCTCACAACCTGCAGGCAGAGGCGAGAAGGGAAAAGGATGAGTAGGGAAATGCTGATGTAAAAAACAAGAAAAGCCTGTCAGCACCGGCTATGAGTAGAGAGGCACTCAGGGGCTCAACTCTACTTCCCCATAACACCAAAACTTCTCTCTGCCACCTGCGCAGCCCTACTCACCCGCTTTGCCTCCTCTTTGCTGAGCGGCAACTCCACTGCCTTTTTCTGCTTCACTCTAGTCAGCTCTTTCTTCACACTGCTCAGGGCAGATTTGGGACGGATGGGCTGCAGGAGCTCTGACAGAACCAGCTTCTCCCCAGCACCTGCACAAGGTCCCACACATCAACACGTGCGTGGCATTGCCGAGCCAAGGGGCTGCAGCTGCATTCAGCCCAAAGAGCCAGGGCAGACACAGCAATCCCAAGCCTTAGGCTGCGGGCAGGCAGTGCTGGCCCAGTCAGGTGGCAGGAGCTCTGCCCAGCCTCCTAGGGAGCTCACCTTTGCAGCTGACATTGAACTCAGACACCTGCACGCTTGCCTCCGTACGCTCAGCCAGCTTCCTCCTGCAAGAAAAGAAAAGAAACCAAAAGGCTCTTCGCATCCCCCCACGTGCTTCTCCTCCAAACTGCTGCGACGGCAGAGGCAGACAGCTGATGCCAGCGGGCAAGGGAACCGAGCAGCATGGCTGCTGCAAGAGCCCCAGGGCTGTGCCACGGGAGCCC